ATGTACTGTGGACTTGGAAATCTGTTGAAGATTTGCCCAAGGTCAGGTGGGGTAGAGGGCGTAGGGGGAAGATCCTGTCCAGTACCATACTCCATGGCCTATGTGGCTCCTCTGTGCCCAAGACCCTTTGCTCCAACCAAGTGACCTTCACACCTGGCCGGCAGCTCTTCTCCACCTAGTGCTTGTGTTTGGGCAGCCACTCTGCCCTGTGTGCTTGAGAGCTGGGGGCTTCCATGTATGATGTCTTCTCCCTGCTGTCACACACCCACGATGACAGAGGCGGCCCCTTCCTCCCAGTCATGGTGGTTGGTGCCCCTTGGGCAAGAGCATGGTTTTCTCTCAGGGATGTGTCAGTGCCTCAAAACCTGCCTGTGGTTTATCCTTTCAGCATGGGAATGTCCAAGTCAGCAAGCACACCAAGGAGAAATGTGGTGACTGGCTGAAGTAGTTGGTGGAAAGGAATGCAGATGGTGTGCGTTCTAAGTGGGCTGGTGAGCCAGACGAGAAGCGCTGTGTGTGTCTCGTTCTGGCTGCACAGGTGCCTCTCTCGGCTGGAATAGCCTGCGTTCCTACTGCTGCTGCTCTTGCAGCCCTGGATTCCAGAACCATCTATTTCAACTGAACGGCTCTTTATGGAGCTACAGAACACCACGCTCATGGTCAGCCACTACCTCCTGTGCAGCCTACAAAACCTGTCCCCGAAGTCCCTGTCCACTCGAAGCCTTCTCACATTGCTGCCACCACCTTTCCTGTAGAGTGAGTCCTTTCCCTCCTCCATGTGGCCTCTGTAGCCTGCTTGAGCATCTCTTTATATGCTGTTCCACATTTTTTTAAAGATTGGCTTCTCTTACTAGACTTGTAGCAAGTGTTTGAGCCTAGCGACTTGGTCTCTTGTGTGTGTATTTGTAACATTCAGCGTAAGGCTTTTGTAGGCATTTGTAAAGCGATGAATGAATGTTCTTCTACCTCTGAGCAGGTGCTTATTGAGTAGCACTTACAGTGAGGGGATATCGCGGCATCTGTGTTAGTCTTTGCTGACATCGGTGACAGCAGTGACCTTTGTGAGCACTCAGGAGCAGCTACACCTGTGAGTGAGAGGTGGCCCACACAGGGTCTCATTTCGGTGGTGTCATACAACAGCTGAGCCCAGAGATGGCTCTCATGGACAGGTTAGCTTATGTCATGCAGCCAGCTCAGCTTCAGTCTGGTTCTGGCCACGTCATGGGCAGTTGTGGGGCACATCTCAGGAATCTTCCTTGTCAGTCTCATTTTCATCTCACAGGAGTGAAGGACAGATTGTACTGTCCGCCTTTCATATGTGAGGGTGGGCTGAGAGATCTTGAAAGGCATCGCCAGAATCACAGCCCACATCCAGAGCCCCTCCTGCCTTCCCCCTGTTGTGCTTTCTGATGACTCCTTCCAGGGTCCCAGATGGTTCCCTGAGCCTTAAGATGGTCTTCTCACTATTTTTTTTTCCTATTTTTGGTCCTACTAGTGCCAAAACAGATTATTGGGAGGATGCCAAATCATCCCCCCAGTGGGCAGTGGAAGAGTGGTTGCAGCCCACAGGCAGAACTGAGCTAAATGTGCCCATGGACAGGGACCTGGGAAAGCTGGCTGCTGGGGCAGCCAAAGACGAATGGAGCAGACTCATGAGCCCCACAGCAGGGGCGCCTCCAAGCTTCTCCCCCCACAGTGGCCGCCTGCCCTGCTCAAGATGAGGTACTGAGTATCCATGCATGCAGGGATGGCCTGGCCTCTGCAGGTGTCCTCGAGGCTGTCTCTAAAAGCTGTGTGGACTGGAGGCAGCCCATTCAAGGATGGGTTCAAGAGGCCTCTGTGACGCACATATCATTTGCCACCTTCTCCTGGCCTCCATTTTCCCTCTGTGCTAGTGTCGCTGTCCAGACAGCAACAGTGGAATTTAATTCTGGACGGAGGGAGGTGCCCACAGCTTTGGTGGGGCCTGGCTTCCGATATTGTGACTGGAGGCAAATTCCTTCACCATATTGCCCCCTTGTCCAACATAGTGGGGTCTTTTTTCTACCCTCAGCCTAAGCACTCTGGTATGAGGCTGAAAGTGAATAAGGAGTGGGGTCTCAATCTTCCCTAGGCCAAGACACTGCTTCAGCTCTGTTTCAGGGATGTGTGAGGCTGTGCCCATTTGTTCACAAGTCATGAAGCATGAACTGAGCTCTCCGCCTTCCTGGAGTCCTGTTACCCTTCCAAATCCAGGTGTATCCATCAGCTCTCTGTTACTGAAACAAATACCTGGAATACTCACCTTCATAATCAGACAGTTGCATTTTGGCTCACAATTGCAAACATTCCAACCCATGGTCGGTTGGCCTCACTGCTTGAGGCCCAGGATGGCCCCCTGTGTTGGAAATGTGTAGCTGAGCAAAACCCTAACTCACAGCCAGGAAGACGAAGACAGGAAGGCACCTGGGTCCAGCATCCCTGCAAAGGCAAACCCAGTGACCTCAAGATCCCTGCATCCTGAGGTGCCACCACTTCCCAGTGGTGCCACCTGCTGGGGAGCAACCTTGGAACGTATGGGCTTCTGAGAACATTCAGGAGGAATTGTAGCCCCAAGGATGGGCCAAGGAAAATCCAAGAAGCAGAGAAAGTCTTGCCTGGCTTCTGATGCAGATGTGATCTGATTCTGGATTTCCTGGTTGTCTGTCCTGTACAGTTACACTATAGGCTTTAACTATGGGAGATTTTAAAATCTCTTATTGTAATATTGAAATGCTGTGGCAGGTATCAGTTTGCTTGTCTGGAATTGGAAGCAAAGGTGCTTCCATTAGCCAGCCAGAAAAGCAGGCGACACTTGGTCTTTTCCAAATGCCTCTATGTCCCACAGCTTTTGATTGTTTACTCCTATCATAATTGGTTGATTTTTCCTACTTGATGACAGCCATTCTCATGGGACAGGAAGGGTGGCAAGATACCCCCATACTGGTATAGAAAAAGGCAGTGGCCACCTGAGATCCATACTACTAAGCTACCCGGTTTAAAAAACTAGATTGTTCTCAGAATCGTGAGGAATATAAGGAGTTGTGCCTAGGTCTCCCTGCCCTGGGGCTGCGTGGATTTCAGGACACTGCTTGCTGTCCTGTACTGAGCTGCACCCTCACACGCCACCTAATGTGTGTGTTTGTGTCGTGTCGCATTATGAATCTGATAGTCCAGCCCCAGATTTCTTGCCCACACTTGGATGAAGCATTTCTTTGTTCCTCACCAAACTCGGGCCCCAGGAGGTATGTCCCCTCCTCGGCAGAGTGTGACACAGGGACAGCAGTGGCCGCCCTATCCGTGCCAGCCTGGATCCCACTATGCATACTTCAGAAGTCAGTGTCCAGTCCACGCTACCCACCACTCACTTTCAGCAGCGAACAGTATCATTTTAAGAAAAAAAGAGAAAGCCAGAACTGTTGGAAATCATCTCCTCCCTTTTGCTGATGGGGCAACTAGACTAAATATTACATACTTTGCCCGGAAGTTCACATTGCTGCTCTGAGAGCTGCAGAATGGATCCCAAACCCAGCTGCCTGAAGAACCTGGGAGGAGAGGATTTTCTTTACTCTTTTGTTTCTCCTTTGACTCATTAAAAGTAACACAAGCAAAGGTTTCAACACAAGCAAAGGCCCCTGTTAGGTACAGCTTCTTGAGGTGCCACACCCTGCTCCTTGCAAGGACCCCACCATGGGTGGCCTCGCCTGTGAGGCCCAACGTGACACAGGGTGGGGCACACACATTTCCTCTGTGGCCCAGAGCTGAGAGCTCTGAGCCCTGAGATGACTAATTTCCTCATGCACACAGGGGAAGGGCAAGCTTGGGGGGAAACAGAAAATCCCAGAAGCGCAGGCTTGCGGAGTCACCGTGCTGACCGTGTTCCACTTCTCAGCAGCAGGCTGGCCAGCAGGGTGTTCAGGGCAGCGCACACTTCTCACATCATTGTGACTCTCCCCAGAGCGCATCGCATGAAGGAGCTCACAGGCTCCTTTTCCTAACCTGCTGCTTTGCCCGTTCAGCATGGCACAGAGACAGTCATGTCAGCCCTGAGAAGCCTGCGTCTGTGGTGGGTATTTGTCTTTAAAAAGTATCTAGTTCAGTAACCTTTAGATTGCGCGGAGCCCTTTGCCTCTCCTCTCGGGTACTGCTGTGCTGTGCTGTGCTCTCCCGAGCCATCCTGGGCTTCTGTAGGGTCGACAGGGTCCACCATGGACCCAGGATCCCAAGCCCCCAGGACTCCCAAACATTTATTAGATATCCACTGCAGGCCAGGAATCTGGGGCATGAGAGCCACTCTGCCTTGGTGCCACAGACTGCGTGCTGGAGGAGCACGCTCGGTGCCAAGGCCGTGTGTTGCCTGCTTTCTCCCTCCCTCCAGATCCTGGAGTGCCTGGCTCCACATAGTGTGTCCTTGTTCGTGGGGGTGCCATGTTCCTTCACATCTCCTTGTCATGGTAACTATGTGTACCCAGTAGGCACCACATCCCTGCCAGGCACGTGGTACCATGTTGGGGACATCAGAAATGCCAGCACGCTCCTTGGTTTGATCCTTCACCTTACCGAGCCCACATGTTGCCGCTGGCACTCATGAATCAATGTTCCTAGGTGGCTCATCACCAGGCCAGTTAGCTTCTCAGGGTTTCTGGGATCCAAGGTGGGGAGAACACATCTGCTGATAGAGGCAGACCTGAAGGTGGAGGGCCAGCCAGCCTGTCGGTACTGCTGATGCGTGTGGGCACGCACGGTGCTGGGTGCGTTACCGGCGTGGCCTGTCCTCCGACCCCACTGGGAGGCCCTGCTGTTGCCTCCCCATCAGCAGTTAAGGAAGCTAGTGGCTGGAAAGGTCAATGCCTGGGCCAAGGGCGTGCCCAGCTGCGTCGCCCTGCAGAGTGCAGTCCCCCATCATCAGTGTCCCGTGGCAGGGCAGGAGAGCCCCAGCTGCCCCCTTGGTCCTTCAGCTCATGGCTTCACTTTCATTCTAGGACTTCTGCCACGGGCAGGTGATGTGGCCTCCACTGGGCGCCCTGCAGGTGAAGCTCACAGAGCCCGGGCAGTCGTGTAAGCAGGTGTGCCAGGAGAGCCAGCTCATCTGCGAGCCATCCTTCTTCCAGCATCTCAACAAGGCCCAGGACTTACTGAAGTAAGCATCTGGGGGCAGGGCAGCAGGGGCAGCTCAGCCTGTGGGCACTGCCAGGCAGAGCTGGGTGGAAAGGCACTGCCATTCTGTCGGTTGTAAGGGGAAGGTGTGGGAAGGGTGGCTGGCGGCAGCACATTCGGGAAAATGAAGTTACCCGGCGGGCAGACATACGTAGAATTTGTATGTCTGGGGCTGCGGTGGGAGGTATTCATTTTGCTAATATGGTGCCCAGGAACAGGAGTACAAGTGGGCACAGAGGCACAGGCACCAACAGGCCTGCCCGAAAGACCTTGGGCAATACCCATGTACCCAGATAGTGCCCAGCAGAGCCCAAATGGCACAGGGCACTGGAGTCAATCTCAACCTTGGAATCATAAAGGAGTAAGAAATAGGATCTGGCGCAAAACTGCCGTCAGCAAATTCCAAGCACTGCTTCCCCCACCTGCAGCCTCTCCAAATCTTACACTGTCTTCAGGCGCCTTCAGAATTCGGAGCACCAGGGGCCTGAGCAGGCCTGACTGCCTGGCCCTCAACAGTGAAGCGCAGGCCAAGGAAGGGCCTCTGGTGCCTCCTGAATAGGTGCATTTTGAGTTTTTCCCCTTGTACTTGGAGTACTTTTGGTGACAGTTTGTTTCCCTTTGTATTAGCATTTTTGATTGATTGATTGATTGATTGATTGATTGATTGATTGATTGATACAGGGTCTTGCTACAAAGCTCAGACTTGTAGTGATCCTCCTTCTCAACCACCAGTGCTGGGATTACAGGTGGGCGCCACCATGCCCCAGCACCCAGCATATCATTTGGTACCAGGAATCGAACTCAGGACCTTGCGCTTGCCTGGCAAGCACTTAGGCCTCCAAGCTATCTCCTCAGCCCTGCATTAGCATTTTGAATTTGGCATCTACAGTTCCCAAATTTTCATGCAAGGCTTTTCCTGGCTTCTCATCCCTGGTCCCTGTCAGTGCTAATTTTTATCATCCTCCTGTCTTAGTTATCTGGCATTGATTAGTTTCTAGCCTCCCCCACTACCTCAACAGCACTAATGGGAGGTTTTCTCCAAGGAATTTGCTTATACTTAACAAGACACTGCTGCCTCAGCTCCAAATATTCTGCCCAAGGTTGGGAGGAGACATTGAAGAATACAATGAACAGTACCGCTTCCTTCTTGGCCTCAGGAGGAGTTAGGCGTTTAGCCTTGGTGCTGCCTTAGGGTCTGCCTCAAAGCTACAATGCAGTCACACCGGCAGCCATGCACAGGCAACCCATCTACAGGGCAAGGGTCAGCAGGGACAGGAAGGACACCCAATAGCTGGGCAGGTGGTCAGTCCCTCCAGTTTTCTCTCCAGAGATGGGAACATCCTGGAAGATGGGGTGGTGGCGTGGTACAGCCCTGCTGAAGAGCAGAAGAGCCCCTGCTTTCAGGCAGCAGAGCGGGCTCCAGACCACCAGGCTGAGATCAGAGAAGACAGTGCCCTGGCCAGGCCTCCCCTCCCCCTGCAGATCCCATACCACGTCCGCAGAGCAGAGGGCTGGGCTGTGGGCTGTGCGTCCTGGCATCACTCATCCTCACCCCAGCCCACTGGACAGATTCGGGTATTCTTACAGCAGGCTGGAATGAATGGTAATTTTGCAATAAAGCCGTCTGAAATTAATTCTGTGAACATAAGAGCCCTACTGAATAACTTGTCCGTGCATTTGTAAATACTGATAATGTTGTAAAACCCCAGCTATCTGGCAGTCTATTGAGTGCCTCCTCAGTGCAGAGGTAATCCTGGCCCATCCATATTCATGGCCAATTAGCAATTAGCAGGCTTCAGCATGCCAAGGCTGCTTGTTCTTCTCCAGCTTAGGGCCTGGTTCTCATCTGAGCTTAAGCTTCTTTCAGACCTTGGGTGTCTGTGACCTTTACATACCACCTGTCCTCACTGTGTAGAATGAATTTAATGTATCACATAAATCAAGCCCTTGATTTGATCAGAAGAATTAGCAGGTGGCCTTTGAGCTCCTGGGCATGCAAGGGACAGCTAAGTGCTGTAAAGCCCACCACAATGCATGCATGATTCAGCCAAGATTGCACCCAGAGTAGGGCTGAGAAGACAAGGCAGGAGTCCAGGCAGTGCCCGCATCCACTCCTGTGTGGCCCACTGGCCCAGTGGGGAGGTCTCAGCTCCATAAAACGCAACATGTGCTAATGTGAAGCCTCCTTTGTAACAGCTACCACTTATGATTATAGGTTGTAAAATTTTAAATTACAAGTGGCCCCCAACTTATGCCCCCCTAATAATGCTACCAATTAACTTTTTTTCAACTTGATGTTGGTATGAAAACCATCAGCATTCCATAGAGGCTGAAGTTCAGAGTTTGCATTAGGATCTTCTCCTGGGCTATGAATAGGTGGTGTGATGCAGCCCCGTCAGCCTCCCAGGCACAAGGGACAACAGCCATACTGTCACGTGCCGCATGTCTACACTGGGATGGTCAGCTAGGCGTATTCAGTGCATTCCCACTTGTGGTATTTCCAGTTTAGGATAGGCTTATGAGGCCATAGCCCTAGGTGGTGCATCTATGTGTATGTCTCTGCCCCTCTCTCACACCCCCTCCTGCTCAGTGACTCCACACCCAGAGTGCATCCTCCCTTGGTCTCCCACCGGCCTGTCTTGTCCTCAGCAGGCCTCAGCAGGGAGTGGGTGCCCCAGGAGACCCTTAGCCCTCTGCTCACCATTGGTAACTCTTAAAGATCAGAGACCATGGGCCTTTCCCATGGGACTGCCCACTTTAAGAGTTATAAATGGTGGCCTCTGTACCAGGCACTGGTCCTGCTCTTTGAGATGGGGATTTAAGTCATAAAATGTAGATGGTAAATGCTTCAGCATCTGCAAAGGCAGAGGCCTGAGTCACAGTAGTCATGCAGTGTGGGTACCTCTTGGAGGGAAGGCGACACTCCAGGTAGGGCAGCAGTGGGCCAGTCCTGCTTCCAGCCCTGCTTCGCAAGGGGTCTTGGGTCCTGGGCTCTGTGCCTCATGTCAGGGGGCGTAACAATAGCTTCTCCATTCTACCCTGCTGTGCTGGGTTTCTCAGCTTACAATGGGAACCAGGGGAGGTGGGCAGTCCCATGGGAAAGGCCCTTGGTCTCTGATCTTTAAGAGTTATAAATGGTACGCAGAGGGCTAAGGGTCTCCTCTGCTGAGTCCTGCTGAGGACAAGACAGCCCAGTGGGAGAGCAAGGGAGGATGCACCCTGGGTGTGGAGTCACTGAGCAGGAGGGGGTGTGAGAGAGGGCCAGAGACGTACACACAGCCCAGGACGCTGCTCCCACCCTGGAAAGGCGAGAGGCTGCGCAGGGCCTGAGGACCTGCACTGTGGAGCCTGCTCGGCTGCACAGCGCTTCTGCAGCCTCTCGGGGGACTTTGGCTCCTCACCAGGATGGTGGAGGCGCACTCCCAGTGGCCCAAGCTTCCAGGACAGGCTCCTGCTTACCAGTAAGATGGGGAGAGGGCCAGGGAGATAGCTCAGTAGAATAAGCGCTTGCCTGGCAAACACAATGGCCTGAGTGCAATCCTTGGCTTCACAAAAAAATAGTAAGAGGGGGAGAGCTCTGAGGGAGGCCCAGCGGATGCTCGGGCAGGGAGGTGCGAAGCCCTAGAGAGTGGCCAGAACTGTGCATCCCCACAGCTTCACACCTAGGGCCCTCGGGGGAACCGCCTCTGGCCCGCAGTCTGTGCACGAAGCACTGGGTAAGGGCTTCTGCCTCAGTCTTACTTGGGGTACACTCCTGCAGCAGCCACTGTGCCCTGGAGCCTGAGTGCAGGGGACCCAGGGAAGGAGTAGGGAGGGGCAGCTTTTCATGGTTCCAGCAGCTCCACCCTGCACCACGGGTGTGTAGCAGCAGCGGAAATGGCAGGCCCCTGGCTAACGGTGTCAGGCTGGTGTCAGACAAATGGTCAAGTTAAGGCACGGCAGTGCCTGTGAGTCACAGCGTATGTAAATAGCATAAGCACTGCTCTGTGTCCCACGGCCACAATCCATGTGTAAACTTTATGTGGCAGGCTGAGCTCCAGGGACACCCTTTCGTTGGCCAGTCTGGGTACCTGAGAAGGGCGTGGTAACCCCGTCTGCCTCATTTTTCCTTGTAGAAAATCCATGAAAGTGCTGCATCCAGCCTTTTCCCTTCATGGCCTGTGACTGTACCCCTCGGGCACCGTGGTCCCCCAGGTGGTACAAGACAGGAATGTGAGAGTCGTTATGGGAAGGACAGAGCTCCCTTGGGGGCTTCAGGCCCCAGAGGGCACTGCCCTCCTGCACAGCCCTCAGTGCTGGCCCTAAGCCACAGCACCCACAGCTGCTGAGTTCAGGGCGCTGCAGAGCCGCCTCCAATCAATCCCCGGTTGCTGTTGGCAAGAGGAGACAGACCAGGCGGCTGGTGGACTCAATGCAGGAGCCACGGTGGTAAAAGAGCACATGGTACTTCTCCATCCCCGACCCCAAGCTTCCCAGAGAAAACTCTGTATATCCCTCCTGCACAGTAGGAAGTTGGACTCATGCGAACAGAGCAGAATGGACATGCTTGCTGTGCTGTGAAGTCACTGTCTACCTGGGACTGGCCCCCACACCCCCACTGGCCAGTGGTGCTAAGCGTAGCAATAGTGATGGCCACTACTTGCAGACCACTGACTCAGAAGCGGACTCCGCCAAGCGATCTAGAAGCACCCATGTAATGCCTGCACATTGGCTTATTTATCTCCATTTTACAGAAGAGACAGCCAGGCCACGCATACCTTTCCAGAGCCAGCATTTCTAGAAAAAAAGAGTCATGGGGTCAGAGCATGACACCTTTGCCATCTCATTTCTGAAGCAGAGGTCTCAACGTGCTCCACCCCTAACAGAGGTGGATCAGCAGGGCCAGCGATAGTGGCCAGTCCTGTCTGCCACTTCTCTGATGAGTCTGCCTTTCTCTGCCGCTTCAGGTACGAGGTGATCTGCCAGAGCTCAGAGCGGGCCAAAGACATCCTGGTGCCCTCCATCGAGCCCAAGAGCAAGCACTGTGTGTTCCAGGGGGACCTCCTGCTCTTCAGCTGCGCAGGCGCCCACCCCAGGCACCAGAGGATCTGCCCCTGCCGGGACTACATCAAGGGCCAGGTGGCCCTCTGTAAAGACTGCCTATAGCGGCCCTGCTGGGCCCTGCTCACACTGCGCTGGGGCAGACAGCAGCTCTGTGGGGCAGGGCCAGGGGGCAGGCAGCATTCAGGGACTCTGGCCAGAGCCCGAACTTCTTGGTTGAAGGTTTCGTTTGGTACTTCTCCCGCTGCGGGCAGCGTGTCCCAGGGGAGCTGTCACCAAAACAAAGTGAGAGCAGGTGTCAGGCCCGGAGCCTGGCTTCTCCCTGGTGCAGTAAGCATCGTTTCTACTTTGTGCAGAGCAACTGCAGAGAGACTGTCAACGCAGCTGCTCGGGTAAAAAAAAAAAAAAAAAAGCAACGTCTCAAGATTCAATTAAAACAAAACAAGAGGAATTGAGCTAATTGGAGAGAACTTGGGATGGGAACATTCTTAAACCCATTAACTTATTTATTTGGGAGGGAGGGCGGGGCATTGGAGGGAGGAACGGATAACAGGTCCTCTCTTTCCCATGGTTAGTTGCTCACTTTCACAATATTATTCCATCTGCTTCAGGTGGGGTGCAGGCGGACTGATGGCTTTGTGGGGGGCAGTTGGAGGGCATGGCTTCTGGTGGTGGCAGGGCAGAAGAAAAGCTTTGAGAGCAGCCCAACTGTCCGGGTACTATCAGAGAGCTGAAGGGCCCTGTGTGCTGGGCGCAGTTAGAAGCTAAGTGAGCCTTGGAGGGCTGATTCTTTAGGCCCTGAGGAGCTGAGATGTGGATGGAAGTAAGTCTGAAGCGTTAGTTAGTGGGCCAAACGAAGCTGGGCCCCTGACAGATGGGCTGGGAGGTCCCCACTAATGTCTGACCTCACTGAAATCCAGGCAGTGGGGATCTTGGTGAGCTTGACATCTGCGGGGGACCAGCAGGGGCAGCTCCTGGTGGATGCTGTGTGGTCCACGCTGCCCACAAGAGGGTGTGACACTGGCTTTCCAGCTGAGGGGGGATGCCTGTGGGCCTCTGCCCTCCACCTCTTGGAGCCTCACGCTTCGCCTTTGTAAGCTCTCACCTCCAACAAACCATTGCTTCTGCAACACTGTGGCAAGCCTCCTTCTGCCAGGTTGGAGCTGAGACTCCGGCTGCCAGGGTGGGGTGCACGCCACACCTGCAGACTTGGGTCCCCAGCATTCTGGCGGCGGGGAGGGCAGTGTTGGGAGCAAGGGAAGAAAGGAATTCTGTTTTGTGAAGTCCAGCAAGAACACGGTCACTTGTAAGGCCGAGGAGTTAGATCTGCCTGCCTGCTTCTTGGTTTCAGCCTGGTGCATAAATACTGTAACAGCAAGTGCACAGCCTTGCGCCACCCCCACCCACCATCCTAGGAACCTTGCTCAGTGAGTTTGAACTGCATCTCCCTCCTGAGAGAGGAGGCGGCCGGGGAGCGCAGCCAGGGTCTCCCCCCCTCTGGAGCCTTGAGCGCATCTGACCTCTTCCCTGGGCTCGCACAGGCTCTTGCAGGACCTGGCTCAGAATAGCCTCTACCGGACCCAGCAAGAGCGGAAATGCAGAGGAAGTGTGTTTAATTTCTTAAAACTCGGCCGGGGCAACTTCCTATCATAGGAGGGGAGAGCACTGGTAGCCTCACTTATAGGGGGGCAGGAGGGCTTTTCCCCTTGAGTGCGCCCCACTGTTGCACCCCAGTGTGCTGCCTTTGAGGTTCCAGGGCCGCAGTTCCTGGGCTAGCTCCGCCCCCTGCTGACCTCTTGCCGAATTTCACACGCTGCCAGTGCAGACATTTGACCAGCAGGGGGCAGGTGCGAGCCAAGACTTGCTGCTTGTTAACCCACTGTTTAAACAAGCACAGGAGTTCAGAAAGTGAAACCTGGACAACATTGTTAGCCCTGCCTGCGGAAGCTGAATCTGCATGGATGTTGGCTGCTGTTGCTGAGCTCAGGGCCCCTGCACCTTCCTGTTCCCCAAGGCTAGGCAGCTCAGAAGAGCACTTTCTCCCATTTAAAAAGTCCCTCTTCCCCCAGCCCATCCGTAGCTGTAAGTGCACAAGAGATCTACTGCGAGGCCACTCCAGCCCACCTTCCGTTGTTAAAGGCGTGGTTAGTGGACATGGGGAATGAGCACCAGCTTCCAGGCTTCCTCCGGCGCTGCCAGGTTCGGTCAGGGGCCCTCCAGAGGAAACCTAGGCGGGAGAGTCCCAGCTCCCCAGAATGGAAAAGACAGGAAGGTGCTTTGTCAGTGTGGGCTGGAAGCCTGCAGCAGTTTTGCTATTGCTGATTTTTATAGAAACTTAGTCAACTTGTCATTGATGACTATTCCACAGGGAGAGAAATCTGAACTAGAATCACTTTTCCTGTGCTATAATCACATCCAATCTTGTCCTTCAGATTATCTTTCCTCTTGTGGTCTTGAACTTGAGGGGGGAAAATTTTATCTAATTTATTAAGAAAAAACTTTCCTTCGTAAGGTAAGAACTTTCGCGGAGTAAAAACTCCTGAAAGGGCAAACACTTCTTTGAATGCCAGTAAACACCTCATTTATTTCATGTATGCAACTTGATTTGCACATGTAAAAATGGAGACGCTCTTTGCATTTTTGCTTTTTGTTCTTGTCTCGGCTTATCACTGTTCGCTTTCCGTGTTTGCTGTGTGTTTGGAAATAGTCGAATCTGTTTCTTTGGTGGTATTCGTTTTCCTGATGTGCCTTTTCACTTTTCTTTGGGCTTGGTCTTTGGAAGCTGGGTGCTACTGCAGGATGACAGCAAGCTGCTCCTGCTGGGACAGGTGTGGGGTGGGCGTGGACGTTCATGCTGGGCCCAGGACCACCGCAGTCCCAGGGGAGGACTCAAAGCTGTGAGGATGCCGAGAAAAGGGCTGGCTTCCCAGGGGGCTGTACCTGGGGGTCTGTCTTGGAGTTGCTGGCTGCCTCGGTGCTGATGGCGCGGGCAGGTCTGAGCTCCCTGCCACCCACACTTGTGGAAGCCTGCAAAGGCAGAAGGTCGGCCTCATGCAAGGGGCTGCTCCGAGCTTCCCAGAGGAATGGCCAGAAATACTCCAACTGGGCGACATCATGAAAAGGAAAGGACCCTCTCTGAGTCTTCTGTACAAGTGCAGGGTTTAGTAAATGTAAGGCGTTTCCCCCTTGGTAGTAGAGCCCCAGTGCTTCTCAGTGCTAAGTGAAGATGACCATGTGCAGGGTTCGACTGAGGAAATTAGTGTGTATAAATGAGTGTGTGCTTTTCAGACCAGACCAAGGTGGATTACCTAGATTGTGTGTATAATTAAACACTGCTTCCCTCTCCCAGGCCCACAAATTATTGATTTTCAGAAAGAGATTCTATTTTAACGACAGGCTCTTCTGTATTACTAGGCCAAGCCTGGATTGTTTTATTTATTTGAAAATGTTTTAGTTTCCACATTGGTTTTATCCTAATCCCATCTATCCCAGTAGGGCCCCAGAGCATCTTCATGTGACTAGGTGAGTAGATTTAAGTAGGTTCATACTCATTTCGGAAGCTGGCAGTTTTGTAAATCTGAGTGTGAGTTTCTTTCATTCTTATTGGCTTCAACAAGTGGAACATCAAGTTTTCACGAATAGCAAAAGACCAAATTAGCTGTATAATCTTGTTTACTGGGGAAAAGATTACCCAAGCTTTCCTAGCACTTACGATTTTGTGAGGCGTCCGTATTTAGTACAGTGCCTGGCGCATAGTAAGCCCTAGTAAATGTTAAATATTGTTGTTATTAGCATTTCATAAAACCTGAAAAATACAGAGCTGAGCTCATTCCTTGTTACTCAGAAGTAATACCTACATAGCAAGTTGACGACCCGTGTAGGAATTACTGGTTTGGAGTGTGCAAGTTCTGCATCTTGCCTGCTAGTTGAAATTTTTCTGTGTTCCTGGATGCACTGAGTTGTTTGAAAATATGTCAGACTTCAGCTCCCAGTGAAACAAGGCTGTAAGCATTTACTAACTAGAGATGAACGGTGTAAAGGTGATGTTTGGCCACTTAACCTTACCCCATGGATAGCTTCTGGAACATTCCAGGGCTTTGGTTTGATGATCTTTTTTGAGCGTGAAGTTAAAAGTCCTTTGACAGACTGCAGCCCAAGAATTAAAGTTCACCTTATTCGTCTCCTGTGCAATCACAGAGGCTGTTTGTGTTTCTGAAGAGGAGGAATGACACTTAGAGCTGAAACATTCCTGGAAATTCCTTTGCTGCCCCCTGCTGGCCAGAGTGGGCTCTTAAAGGCTGGTTACCTCTCCTGTTTGTATCAGTTAAAGGTTAATTCCTAAAAACTCTGGGCGACTGAGGCAAGAGGATCACAAGTTCAAGTTCAGCTTAGGGAATTTTGCAAGATCCTGTCACAATAAAATGGTCTAGGGAGGTAGCTCAGTACAAAGGCCTGGGCACAATCCCCAGTACCAAAAAAAGAAAGAAAAGTTCTATATCCTAGTCCCAAAGAAAACCTACTTCCCCAGGGTAACCAGTTGAGGCACCAGAGAAGGGATTTGGGCCTCTTTCCAAACAGCTTTCAGAAGATGCTTGTGGCTCAATGATGCTTTCCAGAATCTCTTAAATATCAGTCTGCCTGTCTCAGTGGGGATTGGCCTCTCATACTCCCCTAGTGGATTTAAAGTTTTATCTCCTGCCCCATGTTGGCACAACTCTGGTCAGATCATATTTGTGGAAATGGGGAGTTTTTGGAGTTCAGTGTCCTTTTTAGATTCCTTTGGTGTCTTCAGCTGATCAGCAGTCCTAGAATCCTATAGATGTAATGATTGGAATTCGCCTTCACAGCCTCACTCTACTCCAGATTTTGTGCCACCTTGAGGCTGACCCCACAGTGGGGAAGTCTGCTTATCCTGTGGTCAGGGACAGTGTCTGAAGCAGGCTGGGCAATGGGCACACAGAGCACTGAGGTGATCCAGGGCAGCAGGTCAGGATCTCGGGATGGCCTGTCACCTCCCCCAGCACTGAGGTAGAGCAAATGCCGCGCATTCTGCTCCCTGACCTGCCCAGGTGTTCCCGAGACTGCGGGGTAACAGTTGATGCCAAAGGAGGTGGTTACGTCCCTTCCACTGGAATTGCCGTTACGATCCTGACATTGTTAATAGCCGTTTGTGTCTGTGTCTTTGAAACAAATTCTGGTCCAGCCGTTTTCTACTGTGTACTTCTGGGGTTCCGCCCTACGGGAGTCTGCAACTGAGGTGTCGCTGTCCAAATGTACTGTACTGGCATAGAGAGCGCGGCTTTGTTTTCCACTGTTGTAGAGAAAACTAGGGAGAACTTTATTTTTCAATAAACTTTTCTTGTGTGACAGGTGGAAGTGATTTGGGGGGTGGCAGAGTCCATGGTCACCAGCAGAACACAGCTGGGCAGGCTGCTCCCCTGCTGTATCTCATGGTTTGAAAATGCTTAGAATGCTGACCGGATGGAGACCATAAGGGAAGGAAGGTTTTACTACTGAATATTTTATCCTTTTCTTTACCTGCACCAGTTCCCCATTCAGGGTGCTCCCTGCCCCTTGTTCAGGTGGTTGGGAGCTGAATTAGAAAGTGGGCTGCTAGACTTTTTTTTCCTAGAGAGAGATACTGCCTGCACCAAACATTCAAAAATCTTTGAGAATAGGCTAGTATCGTGGCCCTGAGGATGCTGATCAGCAGAACCTGTGAGGCCCGAAACATTCTCTCTGTGGGGGAAAGAAAACATTTTCAAGAAGGCCTCGCCCCAGCCTTTTCCACCATGCTGGTCTGTAGCTGCTGTGGGTTGACTCTCAGCCCCAGAGGACTTCCCGGCACTGCCCACCACAGACGTACCACGCGGCTCCCACATTTGGTAGGCAAAGGTTCTAAAACAGGCAAAATGCAGAATGCCTCTGTTTGGGGAAAGGTATGTCGTAGTTGTGCCCCAGCACCCACACAATGTATATTAAATACAGCGAGAAACCCTGCAGAAAAGAAACCCAAACATTCGGCCTTCTCTGTGCGTGCATAACATGGCACTATCTCACGGAAGACTCGCTGGAGCAGCTTTGACCTTAAACAACAGTGTAGATCGTCCTCACTGACCTGCCCGGGATAGGTTTGGATTGAGCAATAGTTGCATATGCATGACGCATCTAGAGAAGGGGACCCAAGCCTAAGTGGGAAATCGATTTCTTTCAGTATGACATACTAATACACAGAATCGATGTTTCATGTATAAGTTGCACTGTACCCATACACATTATCTTTAGTTGTACCTGTGTTGTGACTGATCTATCACAGGACCTAGGATGTGAGATTTTTCCCCTTGGGGTATCATGTTGGCTCCCAGAAAAGCATTTTTGGATCTCAGGGATATTCAAACTATGCCTTCTGTTAGCCACTTGGAGGCGGTGTGGCCACCTCCCTGTTCCAGGCGAGGTCGGCCTCCCAGGGCCTCCAGCTCCCCGTAGTGTGTCAGGAGCTACAGAGACCGGAAGCCCATTTCCACAGCCCAGCAAAGATGCTTGGGGCTCTCACCCCCCACCCCAGGCACAAGCACCCCCTTCCAAGTTGTGCTGTCATGGAAGACCTACTCAGGACAAGGACTGTAGAGACATCGTACCATGTGTTGCAGCTACACAGCGACAGCGCTCAAAAGAGGACCTCCCCATACCATACAAAACAGGTAAAGGTCTTTATTGTCCAGACACTGCTGCCCAGCAGGCAGTACTGTGAGAGGTACAGAATGTTGCAGGGCAGGGGCACGCGTCTACGGAGTCTACACCTAACGTGACATCAATGAGAACGTCTCATTCCTTACAGAGGAGTAAACCATCTCACAATGTAATGTACCATTACCACGTAACACAGCATATAGATATATGCAAATACAGATTATATCATTATTTATTACAAATAAACTGTCGTTTCATATCTCTCAAAAATGGATCCTGTTTTTCCATGGATGTGCAGGTTCTGGACGTATGAGAAAGGGTTATGTGCTTATTTTAGCTCGTCCATGCAAAGCTCATACGTGTATCACTAAGTACTTTAAAAAATAGAATGGTCTCCTTTTGAACAAATCTGTTTAGGTTTAGGATTAGTAAAACAGTATGAAACTAATGAAGTATATTGATAGAAATCAGGAAGGAAACACTGATGGTTTGGGGCTTGTATAGGGATGAGGGACACGGTCTTCCCTTAAAATCTGCCAGGAGAGACTTCAGAACGGGGGTGGGAGGGCTGTGGGCACTACAGAGAGGTGGACCTTGTCAGGTGGACAGGTCTGTTTCAGACTTAGAGCACCACGGATGGGCTCTTACCCAGTACATGAGAACTCTTACTCTAGAATATAGAAAATGTCGTTTCTGGCGCCAGCTAGGGAAGTGGGGCCCCTCCTCTGGCTAACGTAATGTATGTGATGGGTGTGAGACAGATCCACCCCTAGGCAGACCTTGGCCTGTGATGACAGAAAGAAAACTTCAAAAAAAAAAAAAAAAACTGGATGTTCAGTCAAATGTTGGCACCGTCTGCCTACATGGAAGCCTCTAGCCACCTTGACAATCTTCATGCAGATGGGGACCACACTGGCCACCTTCATTCAAACATCTCGTAGTGACGCGTCTGCCTTACCCTTGGCACCATGTCGATGAGGAGCCTGCAAAGAGGAAGACAAGAGACGGTCAACTCCATATCAGACCCTCGGCAGCTCTGGGGCTCAGAGAAGCCCAGAGGAAACGTTACATTCCTTCACTCACAGGCTGTAAAATGCCCTCTGAAGTAGTACACAGTTCAGTGGTTTGTATTACAGTCAGGCTTTTATGTAATGATCCCCACTACACTAATTCAAGAACAATTCTGTCACCTTAAACCCCATCCCTACTGGCAGTGAGTCTCCATTCTCCGCTCTCCTACCCTGGCAACCAAGAATCTATCCTGTGTGTCTAAGGAGTTGCTTATACTAGATATTCCATACAAAAGGATTCTTACAATATGTGGGCACTTTCCTGTCTGGCATAATGTTTGAGGTCCATCCACCCTAGTGGGCATTGGTACTTGGCTCCTTTTCAAGCAAGTCCACTGTATGCATGTACATTTATGCCCTCCTCAGCCAAGAGATGCCTTGTACTTGGCCTGCCCTGAACACTAATGTGCAGGGTTGGGCCTGGATGCGTATCTTCGATTGCCAAGAAGCAGAACTGTGGCATCCAATGCTGTGTCTGTATTTCACAGTTTGGGGAACTGCCAAATTCTTTTCCTAAGCAGAAGCACCATGTTTGTTCCTGCTAGCACTAGAGTAGGTCCTACTCGCTCCATAGCCTCACCAACTTGGAACTGGCCCTGGTTTTGAATAGAGCCACAGTCGTGGGACACTGGAAACATTGGAATATAAAGTCAGGTGTCCAGCTCCTGGTCCAGGGGAGCTGCTTGCCCTCCCAACTGTGGACTCGCCCATGGGCAGCAGGAGGTGCTCCAGAGTGAGGAAGCCATCCGGAGATGCCAGCCAGAGACATGAAAACCACCATGAAAAAGGAGTACGCTTCAAGTGGCTAACACCATTCCCTTGGTGGTGAAGACATCAGGCAAAAATAAAGGAATCCCTTTTGATCAGAGGCTTAGGGCTTTTGTGCCACAGGAGTCTGCCCAACTTCTGAGATAGCTACAAGGATAAATGAGTCTTGCTGGGGTTTGGGTGGCAAGGTGTTGGCCAGTCAGCTAACATAGATTAGGCTCAGAAGAGAACAGGAACAAGATGTGACTCTCAGGACCCTGGTGTCATTTATAGTTAGATGCGACAATAGCAAGAGTGGCACTCTTGGCCACCAGCAAAGCAAAGATAAAAGCAGGCACATACTTGACCCCGTAGGCAAATATGGTGAGGCCAATCAGCACCCCGATGCTACCATCCAGGTACCAGACTGCCGAGTTGTGCTTGAACACTTCCGCACTCAGAAGAATGGAGAAGCCCATCACGCCACCCACGAGGGAGTTAAAGCCTGCAGAAGAAGCAAAAAGATGCCAGCTGCGGGGCCAAGCCATCTTTGTTAGCCACTGAAATGCCTCTGGAGCAAGTACCAGAGAAAGGGGGCTGGCAGATCCCTTGTCCATGGTCACCACAACCCAAGGCACCTACATGGACAATCGACCTGTCCCAGTGTCACCAGGGACCTCCCTGGACTGTCATCACCCGCACCATCAGTCTCCATCTCTTCTTCATCTCTTTTCCAGGTGCTCATTCCCAAGTGACAAAGCATGTGAGTGGTTCATTGTTGGTCTTCCTTCTGCATCCCTAAAATACAAAGCTGATGAGCAGCAGGAGCTTGGTTTCCTGTTGGAATCCACAGAGCCCACGGTAGTGCCTGGCACACTGTAGACATTCAAGTCCTTAGGGACATAAATCTGTTGAGTGCCTGCTGGGCCAGGTCCCAAGCTCGGTGTTTTAGTTGCATATCAGCCTTCTCAAAACTTTGAGAGCAGATTACTGTCCCCATTTTACCAATAAGAAAACTAAGCTACGCAGAGAGTGGTTAACTAAATGAACCAAGTTAGCTCAAAGGAACTTAAATCTGACCCTGCATCTGTTCTCTTGGTACTTTCCTCTTCTGAGGGTTTCCCACCTTGCTCCAGAGGAGCACTGCAAAATTTTAATTGAGCTATACTGCTGGAAAGAGCAGTAAACACAGAACTAGAGCCCGTAGATGTGGATCACCATCTCCTTTCACCTGCCATGGCCTTCAGCTCCCACCGCTTACACTCCACACTTGTATTTCACCTGAGTCTCAGAGGCCACATGGGAAGGGAGTGACTTTGGGGTCTCCCTGTGATGTGAATCTAATTTTGTCCCTTGCTTCAGCATCATGGCGTCCCCTATGAGAATTATCCCCTTGTGTCCACACCGAGCCAGTCACCTCTCAGTGCCTCAGGCAGGGATCAACTGTCTGTGTTACAGTGCCATGTTCTGGGTAAACTCAAAAGCCTACTCTGGCTAAAAGCAAGCAAGAGGAAATCAAACACCCAAAACACGATTCCGTCTGTACACCCAAGAGCATCTATCTGAGTGAAGAGTAGGAATGATGTAAGCAAAGCCAGGGGCAGAACCATGCTCAGCAGCCCCTGGGAGGGGACCCCTACGGGCTTCTCCCCACCAGTGAGCACAAGATGAACCTGAGGCCTGCAGGGTGTCTCACAGATGGGCCTGTGACACTCGGTTATGTACTTAGCCTCACACCCCTTCTCTACAGGGTTGAGCCAGTGACTAGGCCTTGCTCTAGAGGTTTGGACAAGAATATTTCATCTCATCTGCACCAAAGCCACCACCTCATGACAACCTCTCTGGTCTTCTCTGTTCCTACACAAGGACCACCTCTGCAAACCTGCCTGCCTCCCTCTTTCCTGGATCTTCCCCTCTAGGACAAACCCTACATCACTATCCATGCAATGCAAGTGCTTCTTTGGCCCTCCCTTCCCCTGTAAACCTCCATGCCTTATCAGAACCCCTCTTCACATACGGAATACACACTGATTCACATCAGGAAGATGGACAAAACAATTGTTCTCAGCCACTAAGCACCTCACCTTCTGGTCACACCCACAAGACCATCTATCAGGTAACTCTTGCCTGCCACCTGTTAGGGTCACAAATCAGTCTCACCACTCTCTTCTCGACAGCCCTCCTGGCCCAACCCACACAAGCCACCCAGAGTTGCATTATCCCCATTCCCCGTGTCCAGCAGCTCTCCCTGCAGCCTCCACCCCATTCTGACAGCAGCCAAAGTGTCAGCGTGACTTCCTAAGTGGACAACAGCCCCGACCCTTACTATTCAAGTCCCACTCAAATTTTTCATACCTGCACCAGCCCCTCCTGTGCCCACCCCAGATGGCCCTGGCACCTCACAGGACCCTCCCCCTGGGCCTGAGTCCTAAAGTGCTTTCTCCCTACCCCCACTCCACCCCAGCCCCTCCATGTTTTCATTTATCCCAACAGCTCTTCTCCCCTCTGACATGCTATTCTGGCCATTTGTCTTTTACTATCTATTGTTCCCACTAGAAACCTGAGCTTAAACACAGGAGCATTTCTCTTTCTTGCTAAATTCCAAGTCCCAGAACAATATCCAGCATTTAGCAGGGACACAAATGATTGTGGCATTAATTAGTGAATGATCGGATGGAGAGGAGGAGGAAGAAACCATGTGGGGCGTGGCCTTCACTCTGTCCTCCCCAGGCTGAGGGAGCCACCCTTCGCTGGGCCATTAAGTAGCACCAAGACAATGGTGTTTAGAAAAGGCAGTAAGCCTGAGGTTCTCCAGGCAGCCACGAGAGGGCCACTCAGCTCCATCAAGTCTCGGGCTGCACCTGCCAGCACCAGGGACAGCCCAGGCCAGGACCTGAGGCGCGCTGTCCTCCTTAACCTGCACCTTCTGGGGGACAGTGGGGGTCCTGTCTGGTCGCTTGGCTTACCTGTCGTCATGACAAAGGCAGACTCATCTCAGCTCCACTTCTTGGACTCCTGTATGAGAACACGCACGCAGGCCATGTCTGCACTGCCACGCGCCTCAGAGGTGTGTGGCTTCCCCACTCAGTCCTCCTGCAGGAAGAACCTGCACACCGTGCCTGCTCCCCACCAGCCACCACACCAGGGCAGCACACCCAGCTCTGGCAGGCAGTCACTCTCATGAGCTGGTCCCTGTCCCTTCAGCATAAACCACAGAGCAGTCCTAACCAGGCCTGTTTGTGGGTTTAACAACATACAGTGACCAGGGACATTCTGATTGAAAGCCCCTCCAGTCCAGCCTTAATGATTAGCTTAGGATAGGTATAATTAGGCATGTTAATTTTATGCAGGGTATTCTGATAAAGTTTTTCATATACTTGAAAAATCAACATAGATTCTCTGAGTTAGACATGGAAGGGTGCAGAATAGTCATGACAGGCCCCCTGTACAGAAGGATTTCTCTGCTCACCCAGCTGTCCCTGTGGGTAGAATGGAAGCTGGACCCTGGGCTCTGGACCCCTGGTCCAAAAACCCCTCAGCATTGTATTTTGTTGCACTGCACACACATGCACAAACTTTTTGCCCTGCTGGAGATGGAACGTAGGATCTCATGCTTTTTAGGAAAGTGCTGTCCACTGAGCTACAGCCCATCCTCCATTATACTTTAAAACATACATAGCAAGTTTCATCCTAGTCCTGCCTGATTGCAGGATGTATGTGACTAAATAATGCAACAAAATCAAAGCTAGATGAAGTCTGCTGTGTAACATGACATGGGCAGATCTGTCTGTCCCCTTTCCTTGAAGACCTCCTTCCTAGCTTTAAGAACATGCCTCTGCCATAAAACAAGGCAGAGTCATGGTGAGCCACTTCCCACAGGGTTAGGGTTAGGGTTAGGGTTAGGGTTAGGGTTAGGGTTAGGGTTAGGCCTCCCTTCTTCCAGCTTCCCCTCCCACAGGAGAAGAAGCTTGCAGAACCCACTTCCTTGCACAGAGAAAGTGCTTGGCTCAGTGCATCCCACTGTGTGGGTTCCAGAAACAGCCCCTTAGAGAACCCCAACACGATTGACAGCCATGGCTTGCAGCTCCCCACCCTGCCCACCTCCAAAGGGAGGGAGGGATCAGGGGAGATAATTACAGATTGCTCCCTAGTTCTGCTAATCAGTGAATGAGTAAATATCCCAGACAACACAATTAGCAGGAGGCTGCAATTACTGTCCTGTATTTACTGAGATCCACCCACTCCCAGAAGCAAGGAACCCCTGTGGTAACAGGCCAGGGAGGCGGTTGCCCTGCTCCTGAGCATAGCGCCCCTCCATCAAAGCCCCAGAGCCCAGCACGATCTATGAATATCTCACCCTTCTCCCCAGCCCCTCTCCTCATGGGATCCAAGCTGCCTCTTTCTTTAGCTCCCCAGAGATGTCTCATGCTCCAGTCTTACAGCTCTCCATGCTTTCACCCTCCACAACCAATCAGAACATGTGGCAGAGTAGCCAAACCTGCCCTTCAGCCCCAGTCCTGCTGTGATCTACCTGCTTCACCCCTTGAGGTCTTCTCCCACACCCTAGGGCTCCCTCTGCCTAAAGGAAGACTTCCCTGCTTTTGCCTGTTTGTGGGGCAATTTTCACTTCAGCCACCCACTATTCTTTGTAATTTCTCCCTGCTTCCTAGCTTAAGAGTATGGTGGAAATACTGCTTTGTAGATGATTTTATGGGAGAAAAGCAAAGTCAGAAGATACTTTATTAGAGAAACCTAAGTAGCATTTGGTTCTTCCCTGTACACCACATGAAATGGTGGGAAGCTCCACCAGTGAGTGACTTTGCCTAAACTGAAATTTGCACATGGAGCAGCTACCATGTGCAGGAGAAATCGCCAGCCAAAGCGGAAGGACTAGTGGAGGGTGAGGGACACCCCCTGGCCTGGTGTCAGGTCAGACTGCTGGGCCTGCGCCCAGGTTTCACAGCCTGACTGCAGTCAGCTGCTACACAAAGATGCCAGAGGTGCAAGGGGACTGACTGGTGCCTGGCAGAAGAGGCCCCCCGAGCTGCCTGCTGTGTCCTCAGCCCAGGAGCTTGGAAGGCTGTCTGCTGTGTGTTCCCAGGTGCGAAGGTAAGAAGACACAGGAAGAGGAAAGAAGGGAGCACAGAGCCCTGAGAGGGCGGGGCCCCACGACTGGGCACAGAGCCTGCGGGGCGGCCCGAAGATCCCAACTCGGAACAGCCGAACACAGCCGGGTCCGCCCTCCTGGAGCTGCTCTGTGCCCAGCCCCTTGGGGTGGCCGTGGAGGGGGCTGCAGAGCGCAGAAGACACCACACCCCACCTCAATCCCTTGGGATGAGTCTTCAAAGGTGAATCTCGGAATCTTTTTTAACAAACACCTCGCCAGGGCCACCACCTAGCAACTTTAATGCTACCTGGTAGTAGGAGTCCACTGGTTAGGACCTGGGTCCCCTGGTTTTACGGTCTAATAGTATGTCAAATCACACAACCCCACTTCTTCTGGCCTTCCAAAGGAAGCCCCCTGCACCCCTCTGATGTCCCTGCCAAGGCAGCTGGGGCCACACAGCTGGCTTCAGGAAACAACACTGCAGACAGGACTGGGCAGCGCGCGGCTGGCAGTGCAGACAGGGATAGGACAGATTCTCAGACCGGAGTTCCATCCCTGGTTGCAAACATTTTGGCTCTTCACGTCCCTGGATCCCACTGGAACGCCTGCCAAGCCCAGCTCCACTCCTAATGTATCGTGTGGTCCAGGAAGAGGGGTGAGAGCCACCACCCTCACGCATTTTTACTTGTGACAGAACTCTGAGGCCTTGAAAGGAGGATGTCTTTCTTCACTTGAAAGAAAGTAAGGAAGCAGGCAAACGGGTAGGGGGGAGTCAACCCAGGGATTTCTGCTGTATTTAGTAGAGAAACACCCCAGGCCGACACCTTGACCTGCCACTACTTTACTACAGGCCTCTAGACTGCCCATCTCAAGAATGAATGAAAATAAAAGAGGCAGAGGTCTGTTTGTCAGACCTCATTTAGATCAACACTATTTTGGGGCCCAGGTATCCATCACATGCAGTCACACACCCTATTCCCTGTCACCACAAAGGGCCACATAGGAAGACCTTCCTGACCCACAGGAACACACAAGGCTTTTCTAGCTGATTTGGCTCTGAGCAGAGAAGTCAGGGATGCCTTCCACAGAGCAGGGGCCTGGGCATCGCCCCCTGAACCCCTGCGTGAGCAGCTCACTAGCCGAGGGAAAGGGAACAGGGAGAATTCTCAAGGGAAAAGTGGAAAATTTACTTTTTACTTGGAGCCATTCAACCTAAGAGTCTGGGAAGCGCTTGTGTTTTATGATTAAGAGGCTGGGAGTGCCGAGGCTCCCATGTAGGTCAGGATACAGGGGATCACAAAGAGTCTATTAAATTCTTGGGGCATGAGATAGCTACCCTGTTATAGGAGCCCAGAGGATCATTAAACTTCATGTGGAGAAGGGGATGGGGTAAATGGATTCTAAATTGTTGAGTTCTCCTGCAAGATAAGCAGCTATGAATGCGCCGACCAGCATCCTTCCTCGCTGAGAGCTTGGCCAGAGATCAGGCCCACTGCCTTTACTCACCGTCTGTTATAAGTGCTCTGCTGGTCAGAACCTTCCCCAGCATAAACTTCAGCACAGCCAGGATGCTGCAAAGGATCCCACTTAGAATGGAAACGCTGAACAGGAAATCATCCTAGAAGAGAACATTCCAGATTTCACCAGTGCTCCTCCTGCTACAGTAGGGAACCCGCGAACCACTCCCATTAAAGATCAGCTTTGTTCCCCAGAGTAAGAGTAATTAGCCGGGTGTGCTGCCCCCAGGTGTCCCGGTGTGGGGGCCACCCACTTTCATAGGTCTGTTAACTCTGAGATTTAGAAAAAAAACATTAAAAGAGATACTCAGACTTATATTTATTTAGAAACCCATTATGTATTTCTTTGCCTATAGGAGATTCACCTTCCCTGCTTAAATGAATGGCAACCACTGATCAATAACAGAGCTGGTCAGAATGCTAAAAATGGCTCCTAAGGAGAATTTTCCACAGGTAATTCACAAAGCAGGTGATGGGCAATTCTGAAACCCATCACTGGTCTCAGAAACCTTTCACACAGAGCCAATTGAATCAGCCACAAGATCGGTTATGGCCAGAGCCACTTAAAATCCTTCTTCCTTAAAGACACACTCTTTAAAGTTCAAATGTAGCCGTCAATGTGCAGAAAATGGCATCTAAAAATATAGTCTGCTCCTGACGTTATCTTAACACCTCTGATCCTTACGTTTGCAAGCAAGTGAGTGAGTCATGTATGCAAAGCCGCTGTTCTCTCCTGACATTAGGCCATGAGTTTTCCGTTTTTAGCTCCCAAGAGACACAGCCTCTCAGTTCTCCAGAATTAAAATGCCACTGCCAGCAGAAATCTGATACAGCATCATGCATCCACAAAGAAGCAGGAGCCTCCTTAAGCATTTCGTTAATAAACTCACCAACTTAGTGACAGAAGCTGAGAGGAAGATGACAGCCTGTTTCTCTGGGATCAGAACTGAATAGAGTCATCTGAAAAATCACCTCACTGGAGAAAGGGTAAGCGTATAACGTCGCTGGGTCACCCCCAAAATACAGGTCCATGGCCACAGTAGTTTATTCAGTGTATAGTCACAAATTACTACTCCTTGCCCCAGGATGTGAGAATCAACCCCGCACTGCACCACGTACCCTTGCGCACAGGCTGGCCTTGGTGACATAAATACAGCAAAGGAGCAGAAAGAGGAGAAGAGGGACTTTATGGTGGAGAAATCTAGCAGACACCACCTTGCCACGTGACCGAGTTGACATCACCGTTGACAAGTTGCGCCCTGGGATGGAATGTGACAAGAAGGGCCCTATGCCTCCATGGGGATCTACCCGAAACCCCACAGCCTCTGTTTCACTGTGAAAAACCATCAAACAAACCCAAACCAAGGGATAGTTTACAAAAACCTGGCCCTCCTCAGATGTGTCAAGGTTTTTGGATGATAAAGAACCACCAACAAAGTGTTGCAGACTGGACCTAGGAACCGCAGGAGGTCCTCAGCGGACAGATGGGGACGGTGGCACTGGCTCTACCACTTTATTATTGTGCTGTGATCCACAGTCTGCAGAAATGTGCAGTGGCTATGGGGCATCACAGCATCAGGGCAGGCTGGATCAGACTACCCAGGAACCCTCTCTACACCACCTTTCTAACTTCTACAACGTCTGTGAATCTACAATCACTTCCAGTTTATACGTTTTTTTTGTTGTTGTTGTTGTTGTTGTTGTGGTTTTTTGTTTTTTTTTTTTTTTTCGGAATCGGGGATTGAACACAGGACCTTGTGCTTGCCAGGGAAGCGTGTATTCTACTGAGCCATCTCCCCGGCCCCTAGTTTATATGTTTTAAATAAACACTTCCTTTGTGGAAGTTTCACTTCATAAGATTGTCAGTAAAGACTGAGACAGGCCTGGTCTCTTAACAAATGCCAAGTCCCTCCTGAGCAGAAGGGTCACAAAGGCCACAACAATGCGGCAGGAAGCCTAAAAGCCTTCACTCAGAGCTCCCCTTGTGCAACGATTCAGCCTCATTACAGTGATGGCACTCTCAGAAAGTGACGTACGCGTGACACTATGCCCTGAGTGCGTGTGGCCCTAAGATGGATATACTGAATCCTACGCCAACGTGATGGTATTTGGAGGTACAGCTTTTGGAAGGTGAACAGGTCATAAGGGGGAGCCCTTATGAATAGGTTCAGTGCCCTTCCTTCTAAGAGACCCCGACGTCCCTTGCTCTTCACGTGTGTGGACACAGCAGGATGGCACCATCTATGAACCAGGAAGCAGACTCGTCAGACACGGAATCTTTTGGTGCTTGACCTTGAACTTTCAAGCCTCCAAAACTATAAGCAATAGATTTCCGTTGCTTATAAGCCACTCAGCCTACAGTATTTTGTTTTAGTAGCCAAACTAGGCCACATTATGAAGGCATCACACATCAGCTAGGGCCAGATGCTGACGGGACTCAGAAGCGAGAGTCGGCCGACTGAGGTTGTCAGTTAAGAAAAACACTTGGAAGCCTTTCTGGCTCCACTCAGTCTCTCTCCTTGTAACAGCCTCATCCTTGACTTTCTGGAGGTGAAGAAAAGCTGCTTGTCCCATCGAGGATCCAGGATGTGGAGGGTAGAGTGCCCTTCTCACCACAAGCAGCCACATGGCTCTGTCAGTCCTTCCTGGGGCTGCTGAGGGGGCCTGGCTGCCTGTGGCTCAGCGATATCCTTCGGACCTCGGCTCGGTTCTCAACCTCCCCTCACTGGGAAAATGAACTCAAACTCTTGAGCCTCAGTGCTCTCTGCTCTAAGTGGCAGTGGGAGCCCTATAGCCCCTGTCAAGCAGCTAAGGTGAACAAAAAGGCAACAAGCATTGTGAAAGGGCCCCAACACGTTATCTACAGGCTTACCCTACCAAATGGCGAGATTAAGTGCTCAGGGAAACCCAAAGTAGGGAAGATATTCCCATGAAATGAGCATAGGGAATGGTCACCTTGAAGAAATCATGCATGGTGACATGAACGGTGATGTCAGAAAGACTAGATTGGGATCTGCAGTGGTTATAACGAAGACAGGGTATCTGGGATGCTTCCCTTTCTTCAGAAATAGCATTCTTGAGGAGCCCTCCATGGATTGCTACCTCCATGTCCACTCCTGGAGTGCAGGGGACAGGTTCCTGATGAAATAAAGTGGAAGCACAGGGCAGCAAGTAAAGGCACCAAAGTGAATGCCACGTAACATCCATGTGACTGGGGGCAAGTCACTTAGTTCTTTCTTTCCTGGTCCCTGTCCCTCTCTGCAAAATGGTACCCATGGCAACTGTATCCTGGGTGCACAGAGCTTGGCTGGAAAAAATTTCCCAACATGTTCATCCTAAATGCTTCTCAGGCCAGGCTGGCCCAGAGAGAGCTGCATGACATGTTGAAGGCATGAGACGTGCACACCATCAGTCCCTGAAGGTCACATGGAGCACACGTGCTACTGCAGCTTCAGGAGGTTTGGGCCAACTTGAAGGTTCACCTTGGCTGAAGGGAAGGAGACAGTTGGGGCAACCTCTCCCACTGCCCCACAGCCCATCCTGGCCCTGCTCCAAGTTCCACGCCAGGCCTGGAAGTAGCTCTGTGGCACAGAGTACAAACTTCTGTAGGTCACCCACAAACTGGAAGCTGTGGCTTCAATGTGATTCTAAGCTCTCTTCACAGGTACCAGTTTGGGCTTGCACCCCTCTGCCAAGGTCCAGTTCCTTCCCAACTGCAGCCCCGAAGACATTTGGCCCAGCATCACAGGCAGAAGGAACAGCCCCCCCCCCACCGTGGGTATCTTCACCACCAACTGCCACCCCATAAAGGCTCATTCCTGCGGAAAGCCCTTCATTCTGTATCACTGGCAGTGTCCCCGACATCTGACTACACAAGGGTGTTTCAAATGGCTTAACAGGGCTGGTCACAAAGTAATGCTATATTAGTATTTCAGAGTGAAATTCTTTCAATGTAGAGAAACACTGTGCAAAAGGCTGGGTTTTGCCTATATGGTTTATTCTGTCACCCACCCTCTGCTCCCAGAACCAACCCTGAAGGAACAACTGTCTTCCTTTCTGGACCACAGAGACTGAGGTCATCCCCAGGTCCTACCTAGAGCTCCAGGGTGTGGCTCATTCCTGCTGCTCCAGCTTAGAACACAGACATACATATGAGCAAGCAAGCAAGCAAGCCTGCGAGAAAGCCCAGAAGCGTCAGATCCAGGTCCCCAGCAGCTCAACAGTATTCCTCACACAGAGCCTGGGGACTGTCCGGGGGGCAGGCAGTCCTCTCCCCAAACTGCCTCACTGACTGCGAACATGAGTGCAACGCTAAGGACATGGGGTCATCATGTGATCAGAGAACCAGTCTCTGCTTTGTAGGGGCTTCTACATGGAAGCCCTCATTCCTGATGCGACAGTATCTAGTGGTAGGGCCCTCATAATGGGCTTAGTACCCTCATCAGAAGAAAATGGAAGAGATTTCTCTCTCCTCCTTTCCTTCCTCTCAAGCCACACCCACCAAGGAAGGGCCATCTGTAACCCAAGCAACGATTCTTCACCAGATAAGTGAACTGACTGCTGTCCCCTCGATCTTGGACATCCAGTCTCCACAATGGAGAGGAATAAATTGAAGTTCAAACTACCTGGTCTATGGCATTTTCTTACGGTGGCACAAGCTAAGACAGCCTTTAAGCTTAAAAGAACAAAGCATCTTTGCAAAGATACTTTGCGGAGGGCCAGGCATGCAGCGGGCCCAGCTCATGCTGGGAAACGGCGTCCAGGGCAGGGCTGCACTGCCACAGATCCTCTGCACATGCAGCCACACCTGCCACCTCAGGCCTCACAGATTTGCTGCATGGGCATCTCACAGATGCAGAAATAGACACACAAAAGTAAATGACTCGCCTGCCACAGTCACTCAACTAGTGGCAGGATCTAGAGTGATTTCTAGGTGTAAACTGCCGGGTTGCCTTACCTATGGCTTTACAACCTCACATCCCCTGAAAGCATTGACTACGTGAGAACAGGGATGCTGTTCCTTGTTAGGGATTCAGTTACCAGTACTCAGTCCCTACAGTTTCCCACAGTTGAATCTAGAAGACTAGAGAAAAAAGGCTTA